TATGCCACGTCCGGAGTGCTTATCGAGTGCGAAATCTCTGTGGGATTGCGCTGGATTCGCAGATGCGGATAAGATTCCGTTGAGTGAAAATCTTTGCCAGGGTGAAGATGACATTGGTATTTATTGCTGGGGACCACCAAGTTTCACTGGATGGGCGAGGCACTGGAAAGGTGAGTGATGAAGGTGTCATTCACGCGTTGTGAACAAGTCAAAACCGTACGGTTGTAAAATCTTGTGCTCGATTTGAGCCTATAATCACTTCCATCAAAAGTTGTCCATAGCAGCTTTTTGATAGCGCTTCCGCATCATCATTCAACAGACAGCTAAGAGAATCCGAAACTCTAGTATGTCCTTAAGATTTTGATGAGTTTTGTGCTTCCCGTAATTTTGTGTTCATGTTTGATGAGTGCTGCTGCTGCACGATCGAATGCGATTCGACTCGTCATCGTTACAGTTTATGCAAATTATACTTATACTTCCTTGGTTGAGAGCGATAGATATAGATATCAAGTTGCTTTCTGTTCAGTAACACCGATAAAAAAAAGGACGATCGTGAAAACAAATCAAAGCAATTATGCATAAAATTCTATGTTTAAGAAGACGCAGTAGTCTAATGTGAATAGCATGCATCGGCAAGTGTTTATTCACGCTTGAATAAAGAAACACAATGTAAAATGCGATTTTCCAGAAAGGATTGCAAAAAAACGTTAATGTTACCTGTCATCCTTTTGTTAAAGATGCCATTGGCGCACAAAATTAACTAACAACTCATGATTGCTAGTGGCAAACGTTGGGAAGATGCGTTAATTTCTTTCACTAGTAGCAAAAAATATCCAACTGATCCTTTCGATATAACCGAGTCGTGAATATTCTTAAATTCTGCACAATATTCCCTAGAGCACCAAGCACCACGAATGTTCCCGAATTCCGGACGAACGCGCTCCGGGTTGCGTAATCATTTGATAGATCTTTTGATCGCAATATAAAACAATTATTTTGCCAAAACGTTCATTTTATTTGAAGACACAACGAATCATTTTAGACCTTCTCCAAACTGAATCCAGCTCTCTTATGCAATTAAATTCTCATCACTGATTGTTATTCAATACGGAAGTCCAATATGAATCTTTCTGAGTCCCGAAAAACAAATTCACTTTTCCGGTCTGAATGTTCTCTGCTGATTTCTCTCTGGTTATTTTCATGTCGATAAATACCAAACCAAGAAATCCCAGGAAACCATCCACGATCACAGAATCTCACAATTTCACACGACCCATTTCAGATGAGTGAACTTTCAGGATTGCAAATTCTTAGTTCACCGTTCAAATTCGTCCCATCCGATCCGGATATGGTCTCTGTTCATAGGGAATCGTTCAGTCGGCTTGAATACGTCGATATTCTTTATGCTGGATACAATGCGTTGGTTTTTTTTTGTTGTGTATTTCTCGCAATTCTACCAGACAGAGCATATTTATGCGTACGCTCTCTAGTTTTCTCGGTCTTTGCAGTGGCATGTATTATGCTCAGATTAGCCAAATCATTAACTTTGTTCTCGTTTTCAAGCAAGAAATCTTTATAGAAACAATAGATACATTTCATCGTGATCTTATCAGACTATGATTCATCTACACACACTGCATGATCAGTTTTTCAACTGTGTTTAAAGGAAATGAAAATAAGCACTAGTCTATCTTAACGAGTTCAGCCACCACCTCTAAAATTCAATTCTATACACTCGGACTGATTGAATTCAGAATTCGACATGAATGTCATCAATTCTCTATCGCAAACTGGGAATACCTTACTGAATCATCCTCATTGATTAAAAACACACTGGATATGGAATAACATAATGTGATGCATTATAATAATCAAACGAGTGCTTTGAGCAATCGTCTTTAATATTGCTCTCAAGTGTTCAAAATATAATAGCAGTAAATGAATACTTTCCAAGTTGTGCTGATGAAATTCGTTGACAATATTGACTAGATTATTCTGCTGACAATAGCGAAATCATCTGATACGAAAACGAAAGAGAAAAACAAACTTCTCATCAAACTCAGTCACCTACCGATTCACTTTTGCAAGCAAGTTTTCGTTCATGCTTTAGTAGTAGTGTCGGAGTCTGCTCCAATAAGCCTGAATGGTTTGTGTATTTGTTGACTGTTGTCTCACACGATATGCCCTGAGCCCTGATGAGTATGGTCAGGAGAAATCTGGAGATCGAGTTTCTGATAGCAGCTTGGAGATTAGCTTGTAGACCTCAAGTGAACAATCAACCGAACAATGCTTTAAAGTTGACGACAGTGAGGGAAGGAAGGTACTCACTCCACTGACACACGAAAGATTGAGTCGTCGAATGAACGCTAGACTCACTTCCATACTTCTGATTACAGCTGAGAGTGCGAGTAGAAACAAGTGGCTGTTAGGTATTAGAAGCGTAATTGCAATCAGCGCATGCACTCGCATGCATAATTTCATTTTCGAGCATTCATTCTAGAGCGAAACGTTCGGAATGAATGCACACACTCATACGACTAATTTCAAACTCATGTTTGAAGTGCTCATTCATTGGCATGTTGCAATCAAGCAATCACACAGCTACGCATTTTCAATCTAGAAAAAGATGAGATGAAATTGAATTTTGCTCTCACGCTGATCAGCAAGAAATGATGAAGCGAAAAAATTAACTGCCTTAGACAAACGCTAAAAGCTTTTGCACAATTCAAGTGATGATCAAATCAGCGATTTTGTTGGCCTTTGCTTACAATTAGATGAAGAGCAACATTTTTAGCATTCAATCTTCATGAAAACATCCAATTGTATGATTTTTTTGAAAACACAGTCGAAATGCATGAATGACTATTCGTCAACTTGAGAAGAAGTAGTCATCGTGAGAATGACTGTCAATTTTCGGCATGCGATCTGCATTCAAGATTGCAGATCTATGCGCAGTCTATTATTTTGCAAATCTCCCACATCTATTTTGCGTTCAGAACAGTTCAACGGCAGCAGCGTTTCTTGAATTGATCATTAGGTAGCGACGATGTTTGGAAACTTCTTTGTTCGAAGTGTCATTATCGCGTAAACTCTCATTCATTCTCAGCTGAAGCTTAAAGAACATTGCGAACAAACGTCTAACTGAGCGATAAATTTTCTGAGGAAAAACATTTGTGGGAGCGATGCTTGTGTGTCACCAAAATATAATGATTAATGCGCAATAAGATACAAACATTGAGTGTTTTCTCAAGCAGCACATCAATACATATTTTCATTTGTCCATTGCTGCAGTATGGCCAATAAAATATCTTTGTGAAATTGACGAGAGCATTGGAAAGTCTCAAAACTCACAAAAGAGCACGCCGCTGAATATTCAACAACTCAAACATTTTCAGAATCACAGAAACAGGGTTTTTCCAAGTGAGTATCACCATAACACCGACGAAGAGTGCAAAGAATATTAGCACATTGGGAATAAAGAAATAAGATTGAATTTTTTTTCAGTGAAACGAAAAATACGACATCTGCACTGTGGATCGAGGGTGTACCGCCAATCATGAACGGTCTACGAGTGGAACGAAGCGCACGAGACGGGGTGTATTTCTATGAGCCGTCTGGGCCAATTCTCATTGCAAACTCAACTATCATTAATAATCGGTAATTGAGTCTGCAAATTGCTGAATGTTTTGCTTCGTTGAATCTCTTGCACACTCCAACCATAACGATGCTCATAATTCTCGGACCAATATGCATCGACACCCCAAAACAAATGGATCTTATGCATCATCGAAAAGTAAAATGTTATGGAAAAGCACAAAAACGCTCTGTAAAGAGGAAGAATTTCGCGACGTCTTTTGAGTCAATTCCGCAATTTGGCATAGCATATACGATCCAGAAATTGCCATCAATTGGCGTGAATTGACAAAATCGAGTTCAACAATGATAGTTGAATAATGTAGACGCTGAAGGGAAACGAAAATATTGAGTTTGAAAAACGAAATTTGGT